CGCTAAAGAGGCGAAAATAATGTTAATAGAGAAACGTAGCGGGAATCTTCACAAGGCTTCCTCGTTTTTATCTGTTAGCGCAATTCTGTTGACGTTCGCACTGTTCATAAGAATGGAGACAGTGGTTAATAATACCAAGATGATGGATTCAAAATTCACTATGGAAATTCAACAAATCAAAGATGCTCTGAGAGAAGACAAAGCTTCTCATCAAACTCGTGTGAAAGAGAACTTTGATGTTGTCAGTGGTAAGTGATGAAAGAAGAAATATTGAAACAAAGGTTTAAAGAAAGTAAATCCCGTCTTGTTATCGGACCCCTTCTGATGAACAAGGTATCTATTGTCTCGAAGCTTTGCACGGTAACAACGGGTTTGGTGCAATGCTTATTTACGGTGTCGATGAACACGAAAGCTGAAGGTTTTTGTCTTCCCTGTCTGTAATGCTTTCAGCAGAGAATACAGTTGGCAAGCAAGCAAAGTTTCGCATCAACAACAGAATCATTTTAGTTTAGTTTGCAGAGCGTTGTACTGGTGTTATATTTTTTGTATCAGCTCGGCCCGGATGGGTTGGTAATTTAATTTGTCCATTTTGGCGCATTTTGCCGGCATTAAAAGGTTGCCAACCGTTGATGTTTCAAAACGCAGAAGTTAGGATTTGAATCCAGTGACTGACCTTTTCACTTTTTATTGAAATGGAGACATTCAAACGACTAGTGACCCCGTATTTTGTTTCATGAACTGAAACAGACAAAACTGCATTGATCTTGCGAAAAACAAGAACAACTAGAAAATCAACTCAAGTTTCATAGTTCTATACGGTAAATAGATTTGATCTTCAATCTGAAGACTAATTTAATGCAGATATTACCTCAAAGACTGTTGTTGACCAGAGCTATAAGATTGTCATCTAAATTAGACTGCTGGCAGTCCCCCTCACCAATGCGTTCATGCTCACGAACCCCGGGACACGAACAAACACCCGTCCGACCTAAGGAGAAAAGCTGAGAAAAGACCGGCTGCCAGCAGTCTTAAACCAAATAGACGTTAATAAACCCCGTGTAACTAACAAAAAAAAAATTGTTAAAGCCATTAAAACGTTCTCTGGTTGAAATTTAGATTAAAATAAGCTTTCGGCTTCCAACCTGCAGCTTTTGACGAATGATCAGAAAGACGCGAATGAATGAATAAGTAGAGTGAAAAGAGTGAAGGTATCATTAAAGGTATCATTAAAGTGGTGACCGCAAAAGGGAATTTGGATAATGAAAAGAGACTAATTCTATTGTTAGTAGTCTAGAATTATTGTCCGCCTTATTAGTCATGGCAGTGTGCCAGGACTCGAGAGATTGTGGCACACGATAACCGCTCTTTTCACATATTCTAGCGTTGTTGTTCACTTACTCTAGCCTGAGCAGCGTTGTCGAAGTCGATTTGATGGTCGTTCAACAATAATATAACTCCAAGTACAGTCACTGCAGGAGGCGGCTAGTCTCCTCCGCAGCCGTTATTAGGGTCGTCACGCAACGGTGGAGAAGCGTTGCGTGACGACCCTAATAACGGCTGTGGAGGAGACTAGGAGGCGTCTGGGTGGCCTGAATTTCGGCGAAGGGAATTCTTGCTGTTGATTTCTGTATGGTCTGGAAACAACTTCGAATTCCATTGTTATAAGTAATCTTTGAAGTGGTTCAGTGACACCATTGACGTAGGGCAGACAAGCGAAATCAAAACTGGGCACAGATGGCTCAGCCCACTTGAAAAAAATGCCGACTAATTCTTCTGGGCAAGGAATGTTTTCCACGGCAGGTTTATTCTTTAAGATGTTGGTAATGATCGACAGGGGGTAACCATGGGTCGGTACTAAACGTGAACCCCTCAATCTGGACCCCCTTCTGGACCCCATTCTGGACCCCTATCTGGTCGCCCTCTTTTTCCTTCCAAAAAATATGGGCTCCTGATTTAAATAATTAAACTAAGAGCGGGTCCAGAAAGGGGTCCAGTAGGGGGTCCAGATTGAGGGGTCCACGTTTTTTACCGACCCGTGGAAACCATTTTCTTCCAAAGCACGAGTAGCATGTTTCAGTTCATTATATTTTGCTTCAGTTGTACTTGGGAGGTTCGGGGCCCGATAAGCTGTACGGTTTTGTGCTTCCCTTCAAGGTGGAAACCAATCGTTATGTGTCGGTTTTCTAGAAACTTGAATAGAAACCATTCCATTAATCCGGGTCACCAAGGTGTCCAAAAACTAGATTTATCCATTACTTTCGGTTTCAATCGAGGTAGAGATCTTAGGGTCGATTGGATTCAAAGTGTCAGAGGGCGTCTTTCTTGATGATGAGAAGATGTCGTGGCTTTTTTTGTAGAAACAATCCTTGTGAACAGAATAGTTGTTAGAAAGAACAAATTCCGAAAGGGAGATTAT